TGTGATCCTCCCAATCGGGGTCATCCATCATGATCTCTTGTTTGCTAGACCGAAGGGTTCCCAGAAGACGAGCAGGCTTCTTGAATTCCTTTGAGTCTATCTTGCGGTTGCGACGAGAATTAGAAGGAGCGCCTGCATCACCTCTTGCCTTCTCCAGATCATCTCGCAGGTCTTGAATGATTCGACGCAACTCCAGCTTTTCGGTCTTTTCTCGGTGGAGTTGGTTTCGCTGGCTCTGGATTGTTCTCTGCGCGTGATGGAGAGATGATTTTATAGTCTCCGTCTCGAGCATTGCATGTCGAGGTGTGCCTTTTACTGGAGATGGTGGTGGCGAGTGCTCAGGCGTGATATTATCTGTTGCAGTCTCAAAATCTTCATCGCTGAAACCAGACAGTGACTCTCGGTCTGTTGTCCGTCCCCGTTGTGACGAGAAGGCTTTTGCCAGCTCTTGGTTCTGGTTAGTCAAGTCATCAATCTTGTGTTGCATTGCCGCTCTCTCGCTGTCAGCCATGACCATGTTGCGTTTGGCAGTGCCCAACTCGATGTCGAGGTGCTTCATCGCAGCCGCATGCTCCTCAGCCAGTTTAGAATGAGACAGTTTGGCATCATCTAGCTCTTTCTGGACCAATGTCTTCTCAGAATTGGACAAGTTCAAAGCTTGAGTAAGCTTCTTCTCACGATCCGCTGCATCTCTTTGCTGCAAGGCAATTTCTTGAAGGCGAGTCTCAAGATTCCAGTTCTCCTCTTTGTATCGATGTTCGCTTTCATCCAACGTTTTGAGTCGCTGCTGTAGGCTCTCTGATTCAATCTCGAGCCTGGTCTTTTCCGATTGAGCACTCTTGAGTTCGTCATCTCGCTCAGACAGTAATGCCTGTAGATTTCGAACTTGGGCAATAAGAGACGTGCTGATTTCAGCAGCAAATTCAATATCGTGAACTCGATTTGACGGCTGGTTTCTGACTTTTCGATTCGGAACGTTCAGCTTGGTTGGAGAGCCGGTGGCCTGGCTTTCAAACTTGGAAGGGCTCACAGAACGCTGTCGTCGGATTGGTTAGCTCAATACACCACAAAGCACGAAGCTTAAAAAAAAAAATTTAAAAAAAAAAAAACCAGCTGTCCTTACCCTTCCGCTTCGTCCTTCTGGCACAAAGGGCGAGCCCGGGTGGGCTTCATTGCTTGGCACTCTCTGTTTAGGAAGAAATACCCTAGCAGACTCCCTGGCTAAGTCGTTATACTCGCGCTCAATGTCCACGAGCTTCTTGCGCAATTCTGGGCCAAGCTCGCCTTCGGCTTGAAGCTTCTGCACTTCCTGCAATCGCTCAGCCAACAGCTTGCGCTGGGCGACGAGGGAAGTACCCAGTTTTCCTGCCTCATCTAAACGACGATCTGTTTCTGCGAGATGTGCTTCCAGGGCTTTCTTTGCCTGTCTAGGTGAAGAACCTGGCCCAGCAGCGAATAGTTCTAGGTCGAAATTGGAGAACCGGTGATGGGCGGATGAAGACGAGTCGGTCACGAAAGGGTCGTTGGCAGTATCCCCATCAGCAGGAGCTGGAAGATCTGGGCGGTTGTCGGAGGCTAGAGACGAAGCCATCCTGATGAACGAACGAGTTCAAAAGGAAGGCTGTCTACAAGCACTGTGGCACCATCAAGTTTCGAAGGCTCCGTGGCAAAAGAAATATGCGGCCGCGGAGGAAGCAACCGCAGGTGAAGAACAAAAGAGAGGTGAAGGATGCGGCCGTCCAAAGACGGTACTTGTACGTCGCAGTCCGCAAATCCTTTAAACAAGGAAAAAAAAAGGAAGAGAGTGACAGGACACACACTTATTAAGGCCTGGGTCAAAGTCGGGCAGCCCCCCTTGCGTGAGCAGGGACAATGCTGCAGGGGGGGTGAGAGCTCGACAACAGATTGGAGCACCTGAAAATGCAGTTCCAGTTGCAGCCAGCTCAAGGCGGCGTCCACGTGTGTCAGAAGTCTTGTCAGCAACAGGTGGCTAGCGAAGCAACAGAAAAGAAGCAGCAAAATGGAAAGACCGAAGAGCGACGTTTGCGTTCAATGTTCGCTGGCAGCCGACGCGCTGTGCAGGGCGAGATTTTCTCGACTCTTGAGAGGGCTGGGTTCAACGAGTCGATGTGGTTTGTACCTCGAAGTACGTACTGTTGGCGTCCGTCGGTCGTTGGAATTGGCGCCGAGACCCCCTCGCAACAAGCGATAGCCTGCAGGCGCTTGTGTGGGCAGGGTACCTAGATAATCACCTCGAACGGGATGGCCTCGGGCGGCAGGAGTCGACACGGCGGCGTCGTGGTTGTGACGAGCTGGAATGGTACGCGCCCTTGGGCTTCTTGTTCATTCCCAAGCATCAAGACCAATTGGGCCAATCCAGGTACCGTGGGAAACGATTGGTTCCCGCAGAGAAAAGGTAAAAAAAAAAAAAAAGGGCCGTCGGGGCCAGCAAAGTGCGCGTGCGTCTAGAGGGAAATAAATACTAACGGGGACGTAGCTGGGCCTCGGGGCACAGTCGTCAACAGAGCGAAGAGAGGGAGGGTGTTGGGCATAACAACAAGCAACAGTTATGTATGGAGGTGGTTTGACCGACTTTAAACTTTAGAGTGCAAAGGTAAACATTGAATTCCTCTGAAAAGGGTTTCCACAGAGCACACATGCAGCAAGTACACGAGGTGTGTACTCTGTACCAAACATCAATTGGGGCTAGGCGGGGCAGGTGCGACGAAGACGTCTTTTGGCCTTGACCTGTGTTGCTACCAAAACAACACCAGCTTGACATGACATAAGACGCGTAGCGGCGGGACTAAAATCGGCACTAAAACAGGTTGGGCCAATGCTTTTTCTGCCTCGACATTGATTTGAACCGTGTCACCGGAATCGATGCAGACAAAACACCAACAAAGCAGAATAGGCACAGTCCAACGTGCTGCCCAGTCTGGCACACTGGCTCAGAATGGGGTACATGTTGTAGCAGTAAACAAAGAAACGAGGGTTGGCCGTGGTTGGCCAGGCACGGGGAACAAAGAGATACTAGTCCATGCCACCGACTACGGAGTACAACACGATCAATACTACAACAATACAGCACAAGTCTAACGTCTGTCTCTGGTCGCAGAAATTGCTCAACCATGCCCGTGGCCTCCTCTGTTGTCAGGCGGACAAAGAATATGTATTGTATCTCTCAAGAGGTGGACGGACCGAGCATCTGGCCAGCATCTGCCCATTATGATCCATCTCAGCCTCAGCTCGAGCCTTCAGTCGTCATGGTCAACTGCCTCGTGAGTCGTGAACGACGGGAGCCACCAAAGAATAGTAATAGCATAGTCACGTACTCCGTACTCCGTAGTAATACAGAGTACGGAGCTGTGGATCATGACTAGGACCAGGCCCAGCACTGCGCCTTGCCCGTGTTGTTACCAAACAGAGGGTGTTGTCGGTTCTCTCCAGAAAGAAGCCAGGCGTTGGGGGTTGGGCATGGGGCAATCAATATTGAGTCCAGGATCCGGAACATGCCCTGAACCGGGACATCAGGCAATGCGGAATACAACGTGTACATATATGTGCGTATGTAGTAATTAAAAAAGGAAATATGAAGGCGTGGTGCTGATGGCGACAGTGGTGCTGATGCCCTACGGCTTGCAACTTGGCCTCTGGTAACAACCAGTACCATGTCCTGTACACGGGGACAGAAAAAAGATAGTAGTACTCGGACGCCAGTTCACGATGAAGCTTGAACTGCTGGCTGGTGTTTTCCGTCGAAGGTGCTGCTGTCGAGTCAACTGGCGGGCCATGGCTCAAATACGCGGCGATGCCGTCGCAACAGTGGCCATGGACGAACAACCGCCGGTGTCATTTGTGGAATGTCGCGACCATCAGGCGGCAACAGTCACGAAATCCAGAATCCAAACGCGGATGCAGTCGTTGTTTTTGCAGCGCTCATTTCGCAGGCGCCAGTAAAACACGCCGACATGTCTGACTGCATGGCGCTGATGGGCGGCCCACTCTCACGATATATTGGTGCACGCGATAACACAACATGTGCTTGGTCATACAGACTAGCGGGGCGAGCCACGGGTGGGTTGGTTCTACGCGCCGGTGCGTCGCATTGAGAGACCTCATTTCCCTGCCGCTGAATCGGTGCAGGGACATGGTGATGCCTCCATGTATTTCATCATCCATGCACCTCGGTTATTTTCAACTACGGGAACCAAGACGCAAGCATCCATCGTACGGCAGTAGGCACACTTCTGTACGGAGTAGCTACTCTAGACTCGAGCTTCGTCGACAACTGGTAGTACTACGTGGCAAAGTCGACAATGTCTCTGGGACCAGACAGTCCGGTTTCGTCTCACTTGATTCTGTGCATGTCTTGATGCAGATGCCTCATAGGCTCGATGAAATTGTCACCAGACATCTGCATAATCATCAAAGCAAGGTATCCGCCGCGATTTTGACCTCATCTCGCACGCATATCCCAGCTAGCTCTCCGTCTACTCCGGTACTCCGTACACTAACAGCATTTCTTTTGGTGCTGGCTAACACAGCAAAGCCCGCGTTCAAGATTGGGAATTGCTCAACAGACGTGCTGATGGGAAGCGCGAGTTACACTCTCAACTCCCACTCGACAACAGTAATTGTCATTTATTATATTGTACATAGTACTACTACCTGAGTAGGTAGATGTGATCGACATGTCAGCCACTTTTTTTTTTCCTTTACTCCGTAGTTTGCGTGATTTGCAGCAAGACTTACCCTGCACGTGACGCCAAAACAAAGCTGAGCACGGAGCACGCTAGAAGAGGCAACAAAGGTACTTCGGTACCTTCCTGTCGTTCATGGAAGGCACTGGATCCACTCATTAGTCACCTTTCCAGAATCTTGATGTGGCCCCCAATTGTCCACCAGACTTGATCAGTCAGCTTCTGGTGACAAACTTAGCTGGGTGACATACTCTTACGAGCGTCAGCATTGAGCCTGCCAACCAAAACATTGACAACATGGACTCAAACGATGCTGGAGCTGCTATAGAGGCGAATGCGCCTGTGGCACTATTCAAAAAACGAGGTCCTAAAGGCAAAGCGAACATCAGAAAGCGACCGGCAACACCACCTCCAGCCAACAGCGATAGCGACAGCGACTACACGTCGTCTGAAGACGAATCCGGGCAGCGTGTGAAGCGGCGGAAGAAGAATGCCGCAGTCACTGTCTCATCAAAAGACACATCCACCGTTGCCAAGGATCTGAACGCAACTGTGTTCAAGGCGAACCGAGATTTGCCAATTTCAAGTTCCAACGACGCGACAAAGCAGAGCAACTGGTACGACGATGGCACAAAGGATGACCTTTCTGCAAAAAACTTGCTCGGTTCATCAAAATCAACAGCCAAACCTTCCCAGGCCGACGGCACATACAAAGGGCTGGCGAACCAGACATCGTTTATCCAGAAGAATCCCGACGCACCCAAGAAGACAGTCGGGCCCATCAAGGCGCCAACGAACATCCGAACTATCACTGTCACGGATTTCGCCCCTGATGTATGCAAAGATTATAAGAAAACAGGTACGACCAGCCACACAGTGTTAATGCCATTGGGCCCTACCTAATGCAGTGCTTGCACGAGTATTGGGATGGGTCAAGAAAAAAAGAGAATATGTCACTAACAAAAAAAAACCAGGTTTTTGTGGTTTCGGATCTAATTGGTTAGTGTTTCACTTCCTGCTGCTCCCCAAGCACCGGCTTGTCGCCCACCTATACCAATCACCTGCGAACTTCTGCTAACAGTGCGCCTCTACTCAGTAAATACTTGCATAGTCGCGAAGATTACAAACATGGATGGCAACTTGATAGGGAATGGGATACCGTCACCAAGGGCAAGAAGAGCCTGGGAGGTACCGTTGTAGCCAGCGCAAAGCGTGACAAAACCGACGGCAACGACGACGACGACGACGATGACGACACACTGCTACAAAACATCCCGTTTGTTTGCATTATCTGTGAAGAATCGTACAAGTCTCCCATCATTACACGATGTGGACACTACTTTTGCGAGCCGTGCGCGTTGAAGCGGTATCGGAAGGATCCGACTTGCGCAGCGTGCGGAGCTGGAACAAACGGGGTTTTTAACTCTGGCAAGCGACTGAACAAGCTGCTGGATAAGAAGCGCGAACGAGAAGCGCAGCGGAGACAAGCAGCGTTAGAGGCGGGTGAAGAAGTTAGCGACCAAGATGAGTGAATGCCGGGCAGTTTTTGTATATATGTATATATAATTTTGGGGGCCAGGATGAATGGAACGGGCACGAGCATCTATGATGGAATGATACCATGTTGCTGTGGGTAGAAATTGGGGTTCTTTCTGTTTCAGGGTCTTGAATAAAATTCGAGGCTCCTAGGGTAATTCCTATGTGTACACCAGCCCAATAAATGGCAAACCACTTTCGCCTTCCCTTTGCACTCTGTCTTGACTGATAACGTGACTGTCATTGGAGCTGGATGGCATGCCTGCCAGCATTGCCGATAAGATAGAGCTTGACTTTGGCATACCCCACCATGGCCCGCCTTCACTCCAATCAGGGTCTCCGTCACCCCACCACCCCCTCCATGTGATCCGCCTCATCGCTGTGCCTGGCAGCTCGTCACTCAGGCGGAGCAAGTCATCAGGCAACTTCGGCTTTTGGAGGTCTGCTTCTTGTTCATCTGCTCACAACACCAGCAAATCTTGCCCGCCCTTAAAGCAGTGACTAGAATCTTGGACCTGAAATCAACTTTCCCGATAGGTTTTATTTACGTCAACGCGCTACATCAAACCAAGCCTCGATACGCATAACCTGGCTTTCGAGATAGCTTACGACGACACATCCAGCTCCCAGAACAACGAGGAGCCATGAACTACATACGGTCGACGGTTAATACCCTTCGGGACCGGTACACCCCTGTATCGCACAACTCGACATTCCGACAAACCGGCCAGGTCACTCCAGAAGAATTCATCGCGGCGGGTGACTACCTGGTGTATAAATTCCCAACGTGGTCCTGGGGCGATGCTGACTCCGAGGACCGGCGGGTGAGCTACCTCCCCGCAGGGAAGCAATACCTCGTCACACGGAATGTACCTTGCCACCGGAGGCTGAACGACGATTTCGCTGGAGATGCAGGCCATGAGGAGGCCATCGTCAACGATGGCGACGACTTCAAGGGCGCGGGTGGAGCAGCTGACGACGATGGCTGGCTGCGAACCGGCGGGCTGGCCAGCTCACAGCCTCTGAAGGCACGGGACGTCAGGGCGGTTGATGATGCGGGAAACTTGGCTGATACAACGGACTTGGACGACGACATCCCCGACATGGAGGACGAGGACGACGACGATGCCATTATTCGTGACACGAGTGCCGAATCCAAGAGCGCGTTGGTGGTCCCCCTCCTTTCCTTTCTTTCCTTCCCAGGTGCACGATCGCTGACCTTGTTCATCTCACAGCGGACGACGAACATATACCCTGTACATCATGTACTCACCGTACTACCGGACTCCGCGTCTCTACCTCTCGGGCTACCTGCCCAACGGACAGCCCCTGCCTCCGCAGAGCATGATGGACGACATTGTAGGCGACTACAAGGACAAAACCGTCACCCTCGAGGACTTTCCCTTCTTCGCCAACAACATCAAAATGGCTAGCGTGCACCCATGCAAGCATGCCTCCGTCATGAAGACGCTTCTCGACCGTGCGGACGCTGCCCTCCGCATTCGTAGGGACAAGCTCCGGTCCGGCAAGGCCGTTGGCAGTGATCCCGGCATGGAGGGCCTGGTAGACGAAGTGGCCAAGCTTGATGTCAAGAGTGCACAGGAAGCTGCTGACAAGGATGAGTGGGAGGAGGTCGAGGGTGTGGACGCTGATGAGCAAGAGGTTGCCATCCGGGTAGATCAGTATCTTGTCGTTTTCCTCAAGGTTCGTACTCACCACATTCTCCCCATTCCGTGGCCAAGAAGAGGCATTGCGGTGTAGGTCGACATGGCAAACTAATCGGCATCCTCTAGTTCATGGCAAGCGTTACACCAGGCATTGAACACGACTTCACGATGGGGGTGTGAGCACGATTTATTGCTGGGCATGGTATGGGTCTATCTTGATGCACTGTGCCGACTTATGACATGACTGGTTAGCCTTTTGTTTTCTTTTAAAAGAGTGCTGTGGCATTAGATTAATTGCATGATTTAACATCTTCAGTATTTTTTGGCACAGTGGGCATGAAACTTGGACCGTGGGATGCTATAGCGCAAATCTTGTCAGTTCTGTCCCAAAAGGTAACCATTGCTCTTGTTGAGAAATGGGACCGTACTATTGGCTTAGAAACCACGGTACTCAAACTATCTTTTTCCTGGCAACCCGTATCCAAAGCCCAGACTCCAGTATGCATGAATCGAATATATTGTGGATGTGAATAATGAAAATGACGATAAACGTGAATATGAACAAGGATAATGGTGAGAATATTGACAAGAATAAAATTGGGTTGGATGATACCCTCCAGCGGCACACCACGATCCAAAATGCTTTGATGATGCTAATGCAATGCTACGTGTCTATCTGCCCAACGAGTCCATGCCAACCGCCCACACAGTCGTTACGTAACGCGTCCACATCAACTGTGCCACTGATGGGACATGGGTGAAGAATAACAAAGAAAATGGGTATATGTCGGAAGCACGATTCAATAACTAAAAAAAAGAAAAAAGAAAAAAGATAAGCCCCCTCTGTTTGATGCAATGATAGTTTTGGTCCATCCCAAGCTTGATGAATTGATTCATGCAGAGCCAAAGGGAGCCCCAAAGTTGGAAGTATTCTTGAACTTGAGAGGAACATCTGGTTCGACACTAGCCTTTTCGTCTTCTCCCTCCTCGTCGCTTTCGAGGTCGGCACTGGCTTCTTCCGGTTTTTTACCGTCTTCTGGTGGTGGCTGGAGTGCAGCAGGCAACATACTCCGGACAGCCTCAAGCTCCGGAGATTGGAGAACCTTGGGCAACGCGTCTTGACCTCGACTGATGGGATCTAGCCTCTGATTGACCTGTGCCCAAAATATCTCGTCCTGGGCTGGTATATTCTTTATCATGAGTGGGCCTTTGAGAGCGACATCATCAGAGGGCTCCAAGTAGCCTTCGATATCATCATCATCCCTGCCACCCTCTTGCTTTCCTTCGCCAATATCCTCTTTGCCATGCCGAAGTTTGCCATCAGAATTATCGCTGAGATCTGTGTCCTCATGCTGGTCAGCAAATCCAGAAGATGCCCATGCAGTTGGCGTAGTCTCCTGACTTCTGGCGGCGGCTGAGCTGCTCTCAGTGGCGGTCATGGTGGGGAATAGGGACAGAGAGTGGTTTGGTGTATGTCCAGCATGCATCGTAAGGCGTCGAGATTCATCAGTAGCCAGTATTTGCTTTGTTTGATCTTGTGAGGAAGCGAGAGGGGTGAGGCCAGATCGAAGCCGATCGAGTCGGAGCCTTTCCCGTATGGAAATCCCATTCTTTTGTTTGAGATGGTTGTCCTTGCGAGTGCCTGTCGCTGGTTCAGGGGCATGGGGTGGCTCTGAGATGTTGCCAGGCTGGTTTGATGTTGCATGGAAGGTTGATTTTTTAACCGCGGTAGCTTTGATCGGGATACCCTCTAATTTAGGGTCTATTTCTTGGATATCAATGATGGGAACACCCTTATTGGGTTCTGGTGATGAAATGGAGAGGAAATCAGTGGTGACGGACTTCCGAGGCACTATTCGAGGACTTATGGGTATATGAGTCGCATGTGCAGGGGCGGCAGTAGGAGAGGTACAAGGACTACCTCCTTGCTTGGCAAATTGATGAGGGCGCCGAGAGGCACCATCTAACCCAGGAGGCAAATCGAGGGATGCCAATGCCTCGCTGGCACTCCGTCCAGAAGGTCGAGGTGGCGGAGATTTGTTTGAAGCGAGTGAGGGCGAATGGCTGACATTTGCCTCCCCACTGCCGCTTTGGAGACTGTTGTGAGGTGATATTAGACCAGGGACATGTGTGGTATACGAGGCAAATTTCCTGAGGACGGTGTTTTCCCCTTCCAGACGTTGGATGCGTTCTCTGAGGCCTTGTATAAGATGCGACATTTCTTTCCTCTCATTCAACCATTCCTCACTCATTTCGTCAATGACGGATTGCTGGTCGCGGTACAGCCTTTCGGCTTTCTGTCTGAGGGCCTCGAGGTTGCCACGCTCGAGTCTCCAATTTTCGACCAATGACGAATGACCAGCCAGTCCGGTATAGAGCCGCGATGGCGTCTGGGGAGGAATTGCTGCATCGGCAGACACGGATCTTGCTAGAGAGGCGCCTCCAAAGTCCCAGGCGGCAGGTGGTGAAAGCGAAGAAGAGTTGGGATGAAAGTGGCCACGTACTTTTGCCTTGGAAGAGTTGGCGGCGCCAGCGGCAGCAACAGGTGATGCCGAGTTGGACAAATTTAACGGTGATGGCGTATCCAGGTGCGTGCCAGCCAAAGGAAAGTTGAAGTGTGAACGGTTGGCACTGAGAGGGTTTAATATGGGAGGGCTCTGTATGGCGGCATGTCGACTCGGTGACGAAACTGATTGGCCGTCGCAGTGATTGGACAAGGCGTCTCCGGAGGGAGTCATGGTTGAAGGTGATTGCGAGGAATCAAAACCGGAATGTGACGCTGGTCCGCCTATTGAGGCGCCGTTGGTTGGGACGTCGATGGCACCGGAGGGTAGAAAAGCGTCCGACTCTGACGTGCGTTTGGTCATTATAGAAAATAGACGTCACAGCCAACAATCTGCACTCCTGGAGGACTGGAACCAAGGGCCCAAGGTGTGGTAGTATTTACGTGTTTACTCTCCCCGTGCCCTCGGGGGCCGGGGGGAGAAGAGCTGATGAGATTTGTATTCAGACCGAGGTCAGAGCCGGGCGACGGCAGTGCAAGGACGCGGGCAGCAGCAGAGAGGTAGCAGTTGAGAAATGATCAAATCGGCACCGAGAGCGAGGACGGGTCGGACAAGGGTCGACAGCACACTGCAATGACAGGCGGGTTATGCGCCAGTCCGGGGAAATGGTCTCGTGGCTGGCTGACGAGGCCGGCGGATGACGATGGTTGGACGAATGGATGTAGGCGCTTTGAGTCAGGCTGATGGCAGTGTTTGGTGTTTTTTTTTTGTGCGACCCCAAATATGCCGGCGGCCCAGATTGCCAGGAAGACGACGGAGTAGGCGGCTGAGACTCGGTGTGTGCGTCGTCGGCTGCGGCAGGTATTGAAGTAATATTGAAGCAATATTTGTCGCTGTGGCCGAGTTGGGTGTCGGATGATGGAATGGGCTGGGGACAGAGGACACCGGATGTCAACCAGCAGAAGCACAAGCACAAGCAGAAGCACACGCACAAGCCGATGCAACGGCGAGATGCGATGGCGGCGCTGAAGACGGTGATGTCGCAAAGGATTGCGCCGTTGTGCTGGTTGTCGAGCGAATTCAAAGAGCGAACGTTGAAAGGCGCAAGCGTTAAATGCGGCAGGCGGAGGGGAGGGTTGTATGTTGCGTACTTCCTTCCCTGTGCGAACGGAGGTAACTCGGTACGTACAGCTACACAGTAGTATGTCCTCCGTACTCTGGGAATGTGATTGAAGGTGACTTGGGTGGTTGAGCGCTGGAACCAGGACAAATTAGGCGCGCCAAGCGGATGAGAATTGCTGGGGCAGTTTTGAGGGTCCAGTCTGGTCAGTCCAGATGTCGAGATGTCGGCTCGGAACGGTGAACCGCGGCCCATCAGACCAGGCTCATTGTGCACCTGCTCACCACAATTGGCGGGGCCATTTACTGGGCCATTTACTGGGCCATGCCTCGCCCATGCTCACCAAGAGGCACGCGCGCAAGGCAACTGCTGCCCGCCGCATCCTGCCGCATCCTCGGCTCGTGCACGCAGTCACCTGAAACCCCAGAATTTCTCCCGGCTTGGAACATTCCTCGTCAACATTACGGAGTAAGTGTTGGCAGTGAGCCAGTCAGTGTCCATTCTCATCCCATTTCACCTCGCGCATCGGCGGATTCGGCCGGCATCGCTTCCGCAGATCTCTCTCACTTGCGTTCTGTGCACTTGGTGTTCACGACACGCTGCGCCGCATGAAGGAGGACCTGGTTCGACAGCCCTTTCTGGCCCCCACCGAAGCCACCCACTGTTGACAGTCCGGTACTATGTAACTTGAGCCATCAGTGCATACATGTAAATGTAAGCCTCAGTGCATCACACAGGAACCAGACTCATTGATCCCTCCAGACATGCATGGCTGGCTTGCTCCATGTCGGCGTCGGTCCCCCTGGGCCTGCAAGCTGTTTTGGTTTTGAGCCACTCGTTTGCGCGAATCAACACCCACTGCTGCCAAGCTGCATCACCAATTCGTCCCGATTGGAACCTGTCCGCCAACCCGGTGCATATCAGCCTGAACTGGCTTCTTCTACCTTTTTTTTTGTGCCTCTGCCACTAGGCATTGGCGACGTGGACCTTGTCTACTCGTGTACATACATATGGTGGATATTCTGGAGGACAAAGGGACGCAGCCGCGCCCGTATATCTGGCATGAGGCTATTCGTCTATTCCCCGTTCCGAGAGACCGTGCCGGAATTTTTCTTCTTCTTTTCTTTTTGTGAACCAGGAACACGACGCCTGCCAGCTGTAGCACAACACAAGCTCAGTTCGCCGCCTTATGAGCGAATTTCTGGCCGGCTCGACAGCATCGACCAAAAAATCCGCACAACGGTCCATCAGATGCGTGCCCTCCAATATTTTGTACTACTTTCAAAGCCCCCCTGAGGACGCCCTGTAGTGGCTTTCCCACCATTCCCGTTTTTGGCTGATGAGCTGGCAATGCAGGTGGGTAGTTGATTAACTGCAGGCGCTGGATCCCATATGAGCCCATTTTCATTGAATCCACGAGAGAACCATCAACCGTCAATGACGAGGCCGACAAAGACGCCTGGGAAATGAATCCACCAGTGGCATGTCGTCGGATGATGGGCATCTTTCACATGCCTTTGCTAGTTCTTGTCTTCTTGACATCGCCGTCAAGGTGA